TTAATTAACTAGTGCTAAATTTCTAGTTTTTGAGTAGTTGGGGAAATTAATTAATTATTGTAATTGTTGTTATCATTATTTGATGCATATTTATTGATAGAATCGTTGTAATGAGAATTTGGTTAAAAAAGTTATTTGTAATTCATAATACTTATTAATTTTCTTTTCTTTTAAATTCTAATTAAGAAAAAAAACAAGATACTAATTAACTTCAAAATGTAATAATTATATGTCAAGCGATAAATAAATAAATTGATAATGTTATATATACATATATGTATTAAATTAATTTTCCAAAATAATACTAATTAGAAGTGTAATGGGAATGAATTAAATTAATAGAAATCTAGAAGTAAAAATCGAAACAAGAGGAGTTCTATAATTATTGGGGATATAAGTGTTATGTCAACGATCTAATTATTCGTGTAATATATTGAATACATTATTATTTGATAATTTATTTTAATATATGACAATAATATTTTATTATCTTATCGTTTAATTTACGTGATAAAATCTTTAATTAAATTTGTAGGTTTTATATCAAGATGGGGATCTTGATAATGAGAGTAAAACCTTTTATAATTTAATTTAAAATGTTCTTACTCATTGGATTATCAAAATGAGACATTAATAATCCGGTAAGACTAATATATATGTGATAGTCTCTATATGATAAAAATTAATTGATCTCATTAATTAAATTATATATATATAGATGATGCATATAGAGATATGATCATTGAACCGACCCAATTGAGAATTTCTAATGATTAATATTATCTTAAACTATCGATAGAATATTCTTTTATTTTGATAAAATTTAAAAATTTTCTTATACCTGAGATCATCATGGTAATTGATAAGTCATTATTATACTTTGATTTTGAAAACTTACAGTCATAGAACTGTAGTTGAAAAGATATTGAGTGTGATTAAATTTTTATAGAATTAATGATTGATTAAAACGAAATCTGTCAACTTAGCTAATAAGTTTAAACTCTATATTGTCATTTATTATAATGACTAAATTAATATCTTGGGCAGAGCAGTTGAATGAAAGAAGAAAAGAATTTCTTATGTCATTCATTAGTAAATTATAATTGACATTAAACATAGTTGGTTATCTATTGAGATTTGACGATTAAATTATATCCTAGGATTAATCCGAAACAATAATAACAGAAAGAAATATTACATATTTTTTTAACAGGTTCTTGAGAGTAATTGTACATTTTATATTATTCGGTCGTTGAAAAGTATTGTTAGATGCCAACTTTAATTAGTAAATTAGTTTGACCAATTTACTACCGATTTAGCGTTGAACCTATGAGATCACACACTAACGAGTGTTCTAATTTTTATTAAATAGATTAATTATTTTTATTATTTGAGAATTAAATTAAAAATTTTAATTTAATTAAATAAATAAAATTTTTGGTCTAAATAGAATATTGTTATATTCTTTACTAGCACCAAAAATATAATTAATATTATAGACAAATTAATTTTTTCTATTTTTAAATAGAAAATTAATATTTATATTTTAGTTATTATATTATTAATGTAATAATATAATATGTGTGACTATTATAATAATTAAAATTATTATAAAATTTAATTTGAAATTAAATTAGTTTATAAAATTATTTTATTAAATAATAATAATTAAAAAGGATAAACATATATGAAATATATATGTAAATATTT